AGTTTTTAGACTTGTTGCCACATCACAACCATTCTCGGGCATATGCTAATCACTTCTCGGACCAACATAGTTGATTAGGCTATGTCACTCCCAGAACTGACCATACATCCCCGAGTCTACTTGTGATGTTCAATAATCGTAATACTTTTGTTCTATCCTAGTGACACTGATTTTAGTATGAATGCAGGTATGTATACTTGGTTAAATATTTTAGTATTTAAAAGTATAAACTCTTGATCAGAGTATTTTAATCCCGGTGTGTTTATAGTTTGTATATCTTTTATGGGTTGATACACTCGATTCACTATAAACGATGCTCTGATACCAATCTGTCACACCCCAAAACCGGAACGGAGAAAACGTTTGGGGGAGGAGGACGTCATGTACAGTATCACAACAAGCATAGTAGTAAACAAGCAACAACATCATCCATTGAATTAATAATATAATTTAATATAAGTGTGTTTTGTGAAGCTTATAAGACACCAAAAATGTACATCAAAATAAAAGATGAGTCTTGAACGAGCTCCAACTTCTCAAAACCTGGCATCGGTACCTGTCTACTGATGACCTGAGAATACAAGTTATTTTGAAAGAGTTTATCATCTTTAAAGCTGGTGAGTTTATAAGCATTTTAGTGTCATTTTTTGTATGAAAATGTTTGTAAGTGTTTGATGTATAAGTTTGTAAATGTTTGTAGTAAATGTTTGTATCTCCTAGAAAATCCTATATTTTCTACTAAACGAAGCCTTCTACCAAGGCATCAAATGTTATGTATGTTTGTTTCTTGTAAGAGTGTGTATTTTCCCAAATGAGACTATCATTAACCAAAAATATAGTTTTTACATTACCAATTCATGTGAGAAGTTCACAATGTGAATGCAATGGGGAAATAATAATAGTATTGTAGTGTTGTATTATAGTAACTACTGTTGTACTAACTACCTTAATCCGACCGTTAATTAAGGTGTAATGTGAAATGATTGCACCATACTATCGACTAATAACACGGCGATGAAAGACGTCGGAAGAAATGACATTTGTCACCCGGAGACTTGCAAGTCCCGCTGTAGCGAACACCAAGGTGTAGGATAGTCAATCCAGTATAGATCTATACAAAAATTCACGCTCTCCCTCCAGGAGACTCTGGCTACAAAACGAGCCATGGTAGTGATGTCATGCCCCAAAATAATGGTTCACATTTATGTTATAATATACTTGTATATGTATTGTATGTACTAGAATATTGTATGTTCTCTCTGTCTAGTATGTAGTATGTTCTCTTAGTTTCTCATAATAGTATGTTCTCTTAGTTTCTCATAATAGTATGTATTGACTCATGTATGCACTAACTCTTTGTATGTTTCCTTGTACTAGAAGTAATGAGTAGTATCTTCCTAATCTATACCTATTATAGTTTACTAGTAATTTCTGTAGTTTGAAGAAATGAAGGTATGCCTTTGCTACCCAAAGGTACTGAACTGATTGATAGTACTTTTATATCTACATATGTATACATAGTATATAACTAATATTTAGATGACATTCGGACAAATAACCGATACCCTAAGGCCACGTCCAAAACAAGGAAAAGGAAATAAAGCGAGTTATCAATCCTAAGTCCTTTAAACATTACTTATATAACTATACATATATAGACATGCATTTGACAATATATATAAGTTTAAAGAAGTTTTGTAAAACATTTGAAGTGTTTAATAATGATGACTTGATGTCAATTTATAATATGATTTAAAAGCAGTTTGGCATATAAGAACAAGTTTGATAAGGAGTTTAACATGTAGAAGAATTTGATAAACATTTTGAAGTAGTTGATTTGATAAAACAACTAAAAGTATAGAAAATCCATTGTTTGATAGTTATTAATCACATGTGATTGATATCATAACTATAATGTTTCAACTTGTATTCCCCCCATAAAAGCATTTAAAATTATTTAAAAAGGTAGATTAAGGGGTATGAACTCACCTCTACTGAGTGGTTTGGATGAAAGTGTTGGATAAGGTGCTAGGTGTCAAGTGAAGACTTAAACACACACTCTGATCCTATTTAACATATAAAGACACATATATGTATCTAATTAGTGATCATACCACTAATTTAGCAAGTAAAGACACCTTAGAACATGGAAAACACTTTGATTCAAGTGCTAGTAGATCATAGGGTTGCATCTAAGGGTTGTAGGGCCTCACTATGGAGTTTGCGGCCGAATGGCAAGTCCCCCATGAGTTTACAGCCCATGGGTTTATGGACCAATGAGTTTACGGCCGTAAACTCATGTTACCTTGTACCATTTGATGTTTAAGGTCCTATAGTCTTCCTTGAAGTGTTCTTGACTTAGTTTCAAGGCTTAAGAAGGAGTTGTGGTAACATTGCACCATTAATTAGGGTTTACGGCCCAAGGAGATTTCCTTGGACGTAAACTCTCTTTTGATCTAGATTTATTGATGTTTTCAAGGTGTAAACTAAGTGATTCAAGCATATAACAAGCTAATGCAAGAGTACTTACAATCTAGAAGCTTGATAGGGTGTTTAAGGTCCAAGAACACTAGTATGTGTTCTTGGTGTTCTTGGTGAAATGAAGAACACTTGAAGATCTATCAAAATGAAGAGATTTCATGGATGAAATCATGTACAATCACCAGATAAGGAGATGTAACAACAAATCAAAGGAAGAAATTCTTACATTTTTGGAAGATCGGGATAAAGATCTTATGATACTTGAGAGAGAAATGGGGTTTCTTTGACTTGAAATGAAGGGAATGATCAAAATTGATGTAAACTTATGTATTTAACATGAGTTCACGGCCAACTCATGAGTTTACGGCCTAAACATGAAGGTTTGGCCGTAAACTCTATTTAATGGATTTAAGGCTTGATTAAGGTACACTGGACTTAAGCAGATACTTCCTAACACCCGATTCTTGAATATACTAGGCTTAGAACACTCAAACAGACTCTAAACAGTGCTAAAAGATAGCTGAAACAAGTCTGAATTTGATTGAATTGCTTGATTGTACAAGATAGAACTTTCGGGTTTTCACAACATAGTTCAAATAAACACCTATAGGTTGCGAGCCAGTTAGCATTCCACTGGACTGTCTAGAAAAGTCTGTGGTCATCATCTATACTCCGCTAGATGACTGGATCATCAACAACATTTATATCGAGGCCTCTCATTATTTAATTTTGTCACACAACTACTATTACATCTACCCATGTTTTACCCAATACATTTTGTAGATATAAAATAACATATTAAATCATTTAAAACATGTATAAAAATCTTTCACCCAACATAGACAACAAATATTCAGACAATATGCACACATAGCACGTAATTTATATTAAATACTTCATATCTATGTGTAATATGAAAGGGACTATGCACTCACCTGTTAAGGTGGTGATTCTGCACTCGGATAGCACTTCGTTGTCTTAAAACAATTTCCCTCGACGAAACACCGGGTTTTCATGAAAAACCGGGCTTCGCTGGAGCAATGTTTCCGATCCAAAAAGCTCTTTTTCTCGGGGCTTCCTTCGGGTGCTAGGGGGTTTACCTTTGTTTGGGGGGGGGGGGGGGGGGTTATGGAGGTAGTTAGAGAAAGTAGTGATTAAAGTGGTGAGAAAGTCGACTGCCCTCGCAGCCCTTTTATAGGTTGGTCCTAGGACATACGTTGGGCGTACAGGGCTTCGAACGCGGGGTGTAGCCTCGGATCATACAACACGTGTCGCGGAGCTGTTGGGGCGACATGGACCTCCTCGAAACCGCGGAAGAGTAGTTCGCTAGGCATATGAGCTTCGGTACACGGTGCGTACACGTCACACTGGGCGTACCTCGAATAAGTTGGTCGTATGTGAGACCAGGTTTCCGAATCCAAAGGCTTATCTGTGATCAGCAAGCGACGACCCAAATGCGGCCACATCATCACATCTCGTAGATCCGAATCCCGTTTTAAAAATTCATAACTCTCGCATACAAGCTCCGTTTTCGATGTCTTTATATCCACGCGTAGGTATGATCGTAATCTACAACTTTCGTTTAGACTCCGTTGATTAATTTTGAATTTATTTTTAACGTTCCGGGACAAGAAAAATCTGTTAAAAAAATCAATAACTTCTCTATCCGACGTCCGTTTTCGTTTGTCTTTTTACCGTTACGCTACTATTAACGAAATCTTCGATTCTCATTTAGGTTGTGTTGGCTAAAAATAGCTCGATCTAATATTCGAGTTTCGGGCCGTGTATTGCTAATCCGAAACTTAGAATAATCATAACTTCCTCATACGAAGTCAGATTTGGACGTTCTTTTTATGGACGCTCTCAGTTTAACGAACACTATGACTTTCGCTTAGATCACTAAGTTTAAAAATCACTCTATTGTAACTTCACTATTTATGTCGCGCATATGTCGGTTCTGTCGCGAAACTTCGACAGACCATAACTCATTCGTTATACCTCGAATTTCAGCGTTCTTTATATATTCGGAATCCTTGTTCCGACCACTACAACTTTATGTAAAGATATAGGGTTTATCTCACACTTTAATTTTGACGCTTATTTTTATTATTTCTTTATAAACAAATATGTGAGCATATAATTCACATAATACTCAAACATTTCATCTTTATTACTTCAAATTATGTTACAATAGTTGACCTAGATTATTATATGTTACAATAGTTGACCTAGATTATTACATCATCTACCAATGCTTATCCCAGAAACATGGGCGTTACACATATAAATCAATCAAATTAACAATCTAATCAGATTGAACGTGAATGAAACCCACAGTCAAGAACTTAATTTAACCTTCTGTTTTACAACCCTAATTTCACATGAAAACACAAACCAAATAAATAGGCATAACGTCTAGAAATCTAGATCTACTTAAGAAATAATTCGTTGCAGATCCCAATACAATGTCAATTTCGGATACGGATCGGATAAGAAGATAAACGAGAACCAAATGGAAGATGGTTGTGGTTGGTGGAAAGGAAGCTGCAAAAATCAATCTATTAGATAGAGGTGGTGGTCGTCATCAACAAGGAAGATGGTAACGAAGGTGGTCATTGGTGTAGGGAAAAGCAATTGTGGTTTCCATCGTCATATGGATGTTTGGCGTAGGTTGTTGGTGGTTACAGAAGTGAAATCAAGAATTTGTGGACTTTTATGTGTGCGTGTTTAAGAAGGGATTTTCTTTTACTTTTTTTAATAATTAAAATGGAAAAACAATTATGAAGAATTGAAAAAGAATAAAATAGATATTAAACAATTATGAAGAATTGAAAAAGAATAAAATAGATATTTCAAGTTTTTTTCAAGTATCAAATTTACAAAGATATTTAAAATAGATATTTATCCATGTTTATAAAGATTTGGACTAACTCATAAAAATACAAACACAAGGACTATTTTTGCCTTTTGTCTAGTACGGATGTTCTAGGTGGGATTGTTGAGTTACGGGAAGGAGTTAACTCGGACGCTAGGTACGATACTCGATCACCTCTCTCTTCTCCCACTTTTGCGCCTCACCAGCTCGAAGTCCTGCTCCGCCTCACTGCTGTTGCCGCCTTACTCCGCTCACCGCTGCTGTCACTCCACAGCCCCCCTGCTCCGACGCCGCCTGCTGCCGCCTCTGATTTGAAGGTATTTTGTTTCCTTTCCAAAGCCATTATTATTTAGTATTTTCAAATTGTTAACAATTGGGTTTCTATTTTTTACGTGTTTATGGTTAATTGTTAGGGTTTGTTAATGCGAATGCTAATTTGAGTTAGGGTTTCTTGAAGATTGATCAATTTATTGCTAATTGTTACTTAATTTGTTGAAAATTGAAATTTAATTGTTAGGGAGAATCTTGGGATTGATAAATTAATTCACAATAATTTGTGTTTTCCTCCTTGAAATCAAAATCAGAATAACTCCCTGGAGATGAAATAATTGGCAACAAATCAAACAAAAACAAAATCTACCCGTTAACGCAATCACATAAAAAATCAACCTTTTTGAAAAGAAAAAAAAAATCGCATTGAAATTGAAAGAGAAGAAAGGAGAATTATTGTTAAATCTGTTGGGATCTATATTGATTTAGCATTAAGAAAAGAGGCATCTTTGTGTGATTGAATGCTTATTATAGTGTTTCAAGAAATGTTCATTAAAGCAGTCATGGTGCTATAATTTAAGCGGAGTCTTACATGGATCAGTTGTCAATCTTGTTTGCTATTTAATGACATTTTATGTATCTTATTTATATCAAACATTTTTTTATTAATGTATTTCAATTTTTTTCGTAGATTGATCAAGAAATCAGAAAAATGAAGGAAGAAGAAGTGAACAGATGTCAAATCCAAGAATGGTATCCAAAATTCAAATCCACAACCATCAAAACAATAATCCATGAGCTCCCGGAATCCTTCATTCATTATCTCCTCGATGATTCTGGTCCTTTCCTCCTTCCGCTTTCCATTTCCAATTCCGACGCATTGCCCAACAGAATCCACAATTCCGAAGACCAACAAGACTACATTATATCCCAAGAACAAGAATCTGATGACGAATCAGAACAACCACCACCACCACCTTCATTCCCGGAATTGGAATCACAAATCAACGAATCAATCAAAACACTCGGCGGTGCCATCTTCCCTAAACTCAACTGGACCTCCCCTAAAGACTCTGCTTGGATCAGCTCAACCGGGACCCTCAAATGCACCTCATTTACCGAAATCGCCCTTTTGCTCAAATCATCCGATTCATTGGTCCACGATCTTTGCCACGCTTATGATTTGTGTAACGACCGTAATGCCCCTAGACCGGATCGTTTCTTCCTCGCCCTTCGGAAATGGTACCCGTCTCTCCACCCGGAAATGGAATTCCGTTGCTTCGTCCGGAATCACACCCTGGTCGGAATCTCGCAACGAGAAGTCACGGGGTTTTACCCGATGCTGATCGAAAAGAAACATGAGTTGGAAACAGGAATCAAGAAGTTTTATATTGAGAATGTGAGTATGAGATTTGAGTCGGAAAGTTACACGTTTGATGTGTATGTGAGAACGGATGGGGCGGTTAAGCTTTTGGATTTTAACCCGTGGTGTGCGTTTACATTGCCGTTGTTGTTTACATGGCCGGAATTGGAATCGGAATCGGAATCGGAATCGGTGAGAGGGGGAATGGAATTTAGAATTGTGGAGAGTCAGTGTGGAGTGAGGCCGGGTTTGAAGACTGCGGTTCCATATGATTATTTGGATACAAGTGAAGGAAGTGGTTGGGATCAGTTTCTTAGAAATGCTGATGATGAGTTGAGGCGACAAATTAGGTCCGCTGGTGCCTAGCTTTATCAAGTTTTTATGAAATAGCAATTTACTTTTTAATTTCTTATTTCTGATTATATTATTGTGCTTTAATTTTTTTTTTTTCTTATTATGACATTGTATTTTGAGATTATTTATAATTGAACATCACACTTTGGAAAAACCTACCAATAGGCTTTTTATTATTTTCTTCTCATGCATCATTAGTGGGGTTTCTGTGGGCCGATTTTTTTTGCAAAAGCTTAAGGAGAGATTTTGTATGGCAGAAGAAATTTCCAACATGAAAGAGATTTTTTTGGTTGAAGAATGAGAGAATGTTGGTTATGGAATATAACACCAAGTTCTTATAATCTCATGAGCTTTGCAAGAAGGTTATCACCAAATAATGATACAAAGGTGAGCCAATATGTGGAAGGGCTATCGTGGAATTCTCAATTAAGCATGAATGAAACAACTACTCTTGAGCAAACGATGAGGAAAAGAAGAAAAATTGAGAAGACTCTAAAAGGTAGAGACGAATAAAAACTTGCAAGATAAGATGAGTATTTGGAAAATAAAATAAGCTAATATGGGCTTGTAACAGTTTGTCCCACGTAGTAAAAAGAGCAAATTCTTTGTGGGTTTATAAAAATAAATAAATCATCTCTAATAAATCAAAATGTTTTTGCCACTTGTCATGTTCTTATTGATTTTACCACATGTAATTTTCTTAGCATTTTTGACTAATTTGTTTTCCACATATCATTTTCTTATTTATTCCATTTTTATTTTATTGACATATCATTAATTTATTTAAGACATTTCATTGTTAGAATAATAAATTAGAATAAATGTAACTGATAATGCCAAAAACGGTTACTTTCTTCTCTTGATAGGAAATATTTCAAATTTTGAAAACGTTTTGGTCTCTTAAATTTCAAATGGTAGCATATGTAACTGAAAAAAAAAAACATTTGATACAAAGTAGTGCATTTCCAATTTATTAATTTTTTGTTTATTGTAGACTCGCCTGAAATAAGAAAAAATGAACTTGTATTCAACTTTTGGTTGTCTTGGTTGTAACTGACTTTGATTTTACATTTTGAAGTTTTATTTTTCTAGGTTGTGATAATATCATATTCATTTTTATTCGATATTCGTTAGAACAATTTCAAACCATGTAGCCCAAATCAAAGAGACAACAAATCATACTAATGGACAATCATAATTAATTATCTAATTTAATTGAGGGTGTAATCATTATGGGGTATGATAAATTGATATACTTCAAATTTCATAAAATTTTACTTCTAATTTGATGTATATTTTATTCAAAGAAAGAATGCATATTTGGTTAATTTATATATATGTTTTTAAAATAAATAGAATTATAATGGCACTATTTCTTACAACATGTTTAAATGTAACAATTATAAAGTTTAACTATCTAATATGTATTCCTAAAATATAAGTTTTAACATCCTTTAATATTTCAAAAATTCATATAAATTGATTTTATAAAAAAAATTCCAAGCTTGAAAACAATTTCATCATTTGATGTCACATTGTTTTTTATGGAATCCAATCCTAATTGATAACAATTTATAAGCTTGAATTTATATGTAATATGTTCGGTGTTTTTGTGGACTGCATAGTCAGGTACTAATCTTCTCCTTTGGATACGACATTCAGACGTGTAATGGTGTTAATATGTTATCAAATATATTTAATCAACACTGAAAAATATTATATTTTTTTTCACTATCAGTGTGTTTGTGATACCAGGTATAATCTGGTTCAAATTGAATGTTTTTTTTCGTTTAACATCTTCATTTTCCCCTTAATTGATTACTAAACTTAGTACAACTCACTCATGTTATTTCATCTTATGAAGTCCTTAATATGATTGAAAAAATTAATGTTTACTTTAAGGATAATTTTGGAATTTTGTAGAAACAACTGTCTTTATCGACATTGTCAATTATATAAATTGGCATTGTATTTGCAATGCTCAATTAATCATGAAACATCTTATTTCAGTATTTGTGCAATAAATAACTATGCATTAATTTTTATGTATAACTTATCATATTTTAACCGTATGGGGTAGAATGATAAACTTTTTATAGAGGCGGAACATTTTTTTTAATGTTTAATAGTAGATTGATCATTTTTTACTGGTTGTATATTTTGCGATGATAATAAACAAAAATAAAAGTCAGTCACTATTAAATGTGGGTTTATTTTTTAGACAATCGGTGTTTACTTATAGGCAAATGTATGTTGCATTTGAGTTAAAAGCAGTGATAGATGGGAAATATTAATTTTATATAATGACAGTAACCTTAGTAATAAAACATATAATGTTGTATTCAAAGAAAATTTTGGAAATCTCTAATTCATAACAATTATTTACAATATGTCATTACTAATTTTTATTAATTTGGGTTTAATTACATACTTATTTATCAAAGCCTTTGTATATATGTAAAGTACTACTTTAAAAATTGTTTAATGTTCATAATTTGATATTAAATTTATTGTTTTTAATAAACCCGTGTAATACACGGGTCTTACAACTAGTGTGTAATGAATTTATTGTTATACTATAACACCTATGGGGAACTTATTTGTGTGGATGTGGATATGAATGCAATTATGTACCCACACATATTTTTGCAGAATTTCACAGTTTTAGTCCTTGGTTTTTGTAACCGATGCATTTAATGAGTTAGTGACCATTAATTCATTTAATTTCTTATTAATGAGTGTAGTTACAAAGACTAGTGAGCTCGAGCTCGTTTAAGTTATACGAGGTTCAAGCTCGGTTCGATTCAAGCTTTCTTGTACTGAGTTCGGCTCAAGCTCGTAAAAAAATTATACAAGCTCGGCTCGGGCTCGGCTCATTTTTCATTTGATGTGCCTAAATAAGCAGAAGCTCGACTCGAGCTCGTTAAGAAGCTCGTTTACTCATACCAATCCCTAATTTCCAAAATATGTTTTTATTTTGATATTTGAAAATAAAAATAAATTATATTATATAAATGCTCGTTTAGGCTTGCGAGCCTAATCGAGCTTAGTGACCTAGGCTCGAGCTCGAGCTCGTTTAATAAACGAGCTTAATATTAGGCTCGAGCTCATTTAAAATCGGTTTCAAGTCGAGCTTTTAACGAGCTGATCCTGAGTAGCTCGCGAGTAGCTTGGCTCGTTTGCACACTTAGAAGAGACATTTGCTTCTCATTCTTATACACCGTAGAAGAGTCTTTTCTCCTTTACTGTGTAAATAATTTTCGGCGAATTTTTTCAAGCAAGTGGTTAGATCCGGCAGTACATATTGCTTCAATTGTTGTACCTTAAGAAAAGACGGCAAATCTATTTAAGGGAATCATGTCAAACATGAGTCTGACTCAATCAGTAGGATTAATTACTATTTGTTTTATTTTGCAGATTTATTATCGAAAACTAACAGGAGTAGCAAGTCACAAGTTAAATCAAAAGAAGATTTTGTTTTCTTTAGATGTGGAACTAAATAGCATCTTGCTAACGAGTGTACCAAGATGTGAAGTGTCTTAATTGTGACGGATTTGGCATTATGCCTCGTCTTACTCTTTGAATAAGAAAGAAAATGGTGATTGAAGTATGAAGAAAGAAATTCCAAGAGCAAAAGGTCATTGTTTTCATATCACTATGACTTATGCCATGGAAGATGCAGACACTGTTAAAGATACCTTCCTTGTGAAGTTGTGAACTACATTCCCTCATTACTTGGACTTTGTGATATAATTTAGGGTAAATTACACCAATCGTCCCTCGTGCACATGCCAAAAAGCATGTTTAGTCTCTATTTTCAAAAATTAACTCGGACCGTCCCTGATTTGTTTTTTTCTTGCATGCGTAGTCCCTATTGACATGAAATGACCATTTTACCCTTAATAATTTCTTTTTTCATTTCTTTTATTTATTTATCAGTTTTAAATTAAAAAAACAAAATAATCTCTCAAGAAATCAAATCCATTACTCCACGACTCCAAATCCTCTTCAAGACCATACACCAAGAAATCGATACATCCACAACCAAAATAATCTCTCAAAAAATTGATACATCATCAGCGATCATTCGTATCTCAAACCAACCAAAAATTTCCACCGGTGAATCGTAGGAGCCAGTTTCCATCCCTGTAATATGTGATTTTATAAATGTCACATAAATTGCTGATCTAGACTCTCCAATCACCATCCATGGTCTAAACTCGCCGATTGCTAAAGAACGACGACCACCACCAACGTATGATTTAGATGTCGACTTCAATTTCTGGAACTATCCCACTCTTTCCTCCATACAGATCCGACGAGACCCCAAACCTACAAATCGGAAAAATCAAACCTCAAAGATCAAACCCTAAACCTACAAATCAAAACTAACTAAACCCTAAACCTGCAAATTGGAACTAACGAGTTGCAGGAGAAGAAATAGGATTTCGATCGACAGAATCATATCGACGAACGTGATGTCCACCGCCACCAAATCGAGGAGGATTCCATCCACCACCGCTTCATCTTCCTCATAGATGGTGTAAGTCGACGATGGCTAATTTACCTCGTGATGTAGATTATAGCTTCATTGAGGATTCAGTTTGTAGTCTGATGGCTTCTTCAAGTAAGAGTGAAGTGATTCAAGGTTCTTCAAGTCAATGTGATGGCTTATTGTGTGTGTGTTTGTTTCGTATTGAAGAAGAATGGAGAGAGAAAGAGAGGGGGGGGGGAGAGAGAGAGAGAGACATTGGAGGTGGTGGTGGTATTTTCAATTTTTCATACGTGTGAGAGAGATAGATATTAGAGAGTTGTTTTTTTAATTGTTATTAATAATAAATAATATTAAAATTAATTAAAAATAAATATCCAAGGGCATAATGGTCATTTCAAATGTGGAGTGGACTAAATTCGCAACAAAAACACATATCAGGGACGAAGTTAGCAAGTTTTAAGCAAACGAGGGACGGTCGGAGTTAATTTTTGAAAATAGGGACTAAACACGCTTTCTG